TCTATCTGTCCAGTGAACCTCCTCCTGTCTCGCAGCAGTACACCGACACCAGCCATCATCACTGCCTGCCTGCCTCAGTTGAGGAGGAGGCTTAGCCTAGGTGTGGCAGCCGCATTCATCACAGGCTCCCCCTCCCTTATCCCCACCACGCCCCTGCAGAAAAAGAAAGTGTCAATGACAACAAACCAATGTTATCTCTAAGCTGAGTTAGTGTGAGCCAGCTCACAGTTTTCTGGTCTCTCTCTCTCTCTCTGCCGGCTCACACAACTGTTCCTCTTAGGCAGGAGGAAGGATACCTCCAGAGCAAACTTACTTATACAGTACCCAGAAATCAATAACTCCAGTAGCTCACAAGATTTTCAGCTCACAATCTAGATGCCACAGCTCACTCAGACTCCAGGGACTATTGCACACTGTCACTCACACAACGTGTATTACACAATGGTGCTCCCCGTGCGTGGCGCTGCTGGCTGGCCTACCCTACTCTACCATTGGAGATGGAGAACAATCACTGTGTGATGCTGTTGTATTACGTTTCAGCATGAAATTTTGGTTTGGGGTGGGTGGCGGCGGCAGCAGCTGGCCGTGGAACTTAGGTGTGGGGTCTGTCTGTGTAAGCATTTCTGCTGCAGGTGGGATGGAAGTGGGGAAGTTGGTGGGGCATTTGTGTGCCAATCAAAATGGTCATGGGGGCCCGGGCTGCTACTTTGCCCTAGCATCTAGTTTTAAATGGGAAAAGCGTGGCCCAAATTCCCAGCACAGACCAAGAGAGGATTGCAGGCACAAGGATGTGCTCACCTCAATCTTCATACTCCAGTTCCGGGAAACCGAACAGTGGCATGTTGACCTTCAGGAAGACCAACTGCTCAACTGACCAGGGGCTCAGGCGAGAGCGATGCAGGCAGACAATGTCGCCCGCATGGGAAAAGACACGCTCGCTCTGAACGCTCGTCGGAGGGCACGAAAGTAGCTTCAGGGCCACGGCAGAGAGGGCCGGCCAGACCGCCTCCTTCATGGCCCAGTAGCTAGGCAGACTGACGGACTCCGGCTCGTAGGGCTCCACAAGGTAGTCCCTCACCACCGAAGCCGCCGTGTCCTCTCTCGTGGGACCTCCGCTCCCAGAGGGGCCAAGGATCCGCCCCATGAATGCCCTCTCGGGATTCCTGGTGGCGGGAGCCTTAAGGGGGACGCTGCCTAGCAGGGGAGGTGGAGGATGAACAGCACTCGAGGTGCTGGCACCCTCCCCTCCCGCAGCTGACGACGTTCCCATCTTGGCTCGCATCTTCCCAACTCTCTTGGAGAGAATATTCCTCCATCGAGTTAGCTCGTTGACCCGCTCGGCGATGTTGCCCTTTATGCACGGGTCACACATGGTCGCCAACATGTAGACCCTGTCCTGGAGGAGAGGCTCAAAGCGCCTCCTCAGTGCACTTTGCAGCCTTCTCACCAGGGCGCCCACCGCTGGAAGCATGTCTGCACGTCCTGCGGTTGGCTTCAGAAACGCTGCCAACTCCTCATGGAGCGTGAGGACCATGGGGATGACAAAAGCCAGGGACGCCGTGTCAGACGAGAGAATCTCTGTGAAGGTCTTAAAGGGCTTAAGAACCTCCACAGCCTGAGAGATGGACAACCACTCCTCGTGATTGAGCCGGCTCTCATCCTGAATCACCCCGCTCTCAGAGATCAGGGCAGTCAGGGCTCTCTCCTGCTCCACCAAGCGTTCAAGCCTGACGCAGGTGGAGTTCCAGCGAGTGGAGACGTCGCCTAAAAGGCCGTGTTCCGGCAGGCCTGCCAGCGCCTGCTTCTCACGCAGTAGAGGTCCTTCGTACTGCGGGAGAAGTGACTCGTGATGAACCGGCATTTCTCGAGGATATGCCGGAACTCATGAGTCGCAGCGTCCAGATTGGGATCCCTCGCGGGACCCAACCCCAGAGAATCCTTAACCATGAGGTGGGTAAGGTGGGCTGCACAGGGAATGCGCTTCATGCCCAGCTGCTCTGCCGCTGCCCTAAAGTTTGAGCCACCATCAGTCACCAGGAAGCCCTTGGTGACGCCTCTGCCTACCCACTCGTCAAACTGACTACTGATGGCGACCCGAATGTTGTCCGCCGTGTGCGACCCATCGAGTCTCCCGATGTGAAGCAGGGCCTTGCGGTAGCCGGCCCAGCGGCCCTGACCCTGCCTGTCACTAGGTTGCCCTCCCCCATCCAAAACCTCGCTCAGTTCCCACCAGTGCGCAGTAACTGAGAGGTACGAGTTATGCGCCTTACAGGAGGTAAAAAAGCAGGGGGCGTGTACCAGGGGAAGGCATACTGGAGTAACCTGCGGAAACCGATGTCTTCCACTGCAGCGTAGGGGCACCCATCTATGGCAATCATCTCAGCAAGAAGGCGAGTGACCTTCCTGCTGGCCAATTGCTTCCCACCCTTAGGCACTCTAGTGCCAACGTCACCAAACATCTCAGTCAGAGATGTTTGGCGTCCCTGCCCCAGCCCTAACTCGGAACGCGTAAGGGGAGCGCTGGAGGTGGTCGGACAACTCACCTTTTGGCTGGCTGGTGGTGGCCGCCTGGACACCCCAGCAGCAGCCTGTCTCTCCTCCTGAAGAAGCACCGCCTGGTGGTGCTTCTTCAGGTGGTTCCGAAGCCCAGAGGTCGAGAGATGGGCGATGTCCTTCCCTCGACTTACCTGGTCCCTACACAGCTGGCACTGTGCAAAACGGGGATTCTCTGAAACGATCCGGAAGTGATTCCAGACGTCAGAGGTGAAGGAACACCCACGCCGACCAGCGGCCATGGGCTTCCACAGAGCCTCCTCCTGTGAGGGGCTCGGGCCAGACACATCGTGTCTTGGGGGGGCAGAAAGAGAAAACTGAGCAGTGAGAAGGGGTTGAGATGGCAGCGCACCTGCCTCCATCTCTTCCTCTTTCTCCTGTCCCAGCCTGCTCTCCTCCCCCCCCCCATGGGAGTCCTGCTGAGGCCAGAGGCGGGAGTGGTGCCAGGATGCTCAGTTGTGGCCCTGCGCTTGGTTCCAGGGAGAGCCGCAGCTTTCCCCTCCCCTCCATCCCTCTAGTCTTCTCCCTTGCCTTACCCCCAGGGCCCCTCTGCGTCTCCTTCCTGCCGCTCATGGTACCCCTGGCCAAACTCAGGCTAACTTGTTGTGGGGAAAGTACACCTAACTTACCTACACTATCACCTGACCCTAAAGCAACCTTGCACACCTTTTTATAAACCCTCCCACCAGAAATTGTTTTTTCTGTTTTTCAGTAGACCCTAACCTAGCCTTGTTTCACTTTTTTCCTGGGTTGGTTTTTTTATTACTAGTGAATTTCTACACTGGCCCTGACTCTGGTTTACAGACTGTCCTTGAGATGGCTTGTTCAAACCTTTTTAAAAGTTTTTGTGTTTTTGAATGAACTACTCCTATCTAGATGCCACTAGAACCACCTAATTCCCTTATGGAATCAGGAAAAGCTCCCTAATTGAAAAACAATATGAATGGGGGGAAAGTGCCTGGCCTCACCACCAAAGGTCAGACAGAGCACAAAGCACAGCTAAGCTCACCGCTTTTTAAATAATTAAACGCTACTTAAATCTTTTTTAAGTGAAGACAAACCTGGCTCTGTTTGTTTTCCTACAACTGGCCTGGTTAGGTAGAACAGCTAAAGCCCTATACTGAGATTTAAAATATTTGTTTAAAATAAGCCTGTATCCTTTTTTTAAAGCCTATTTAACACAACACACAGCGCAGTCCTCCCTTACACCTAAGAAAGACGAAACAAAACCTGCTAAAAGGCAGAACAGAGCAGTCCTCCCCAAGCAGAACCCTACCCCCCAAAAAAGACCAAGAGGGTTAAAAAAAAGATTAGAAAAAATCAAGAAAGGCGATCAACAAGCCAAAAAAACCCCACAGACCTCAAAAACCTTGACAAGAACCAGACACGCCTACAAAGAGAGGCCCAAGCAGAACGCCCCCCCAAAAAAACACCAAGAAAGACCAAGCCAAGAAAAAACCACAGAACTTAAAAACCTTACCAAGAGAACCAAGGCAGTGAAGGCAAACCAAAAGAAAGACCTAGGCCAGCCCAAGCAGAACCCCCCCCCCAAAAAAAAACCCAAGAAAGGCCAAGCAAAAAAAATACCCCACAGAGTGACCTTAAAAAAAATTCACTTGCAAAAAGGAGACCCAAATTAAGAAGAACCAAAGGCACACCAACAAACAAAGACTTAGGCCCCAAGCAGAACCCCCTCCCCCAAAAAAACTCCAGAAGCCCTGAACAAAAAACTTAACCAAGTTACCAAAATAAACTGTGAAAAGATAAGGAGGCAAGCAACAGAGAAGAACCACAACAAAACCAAGTCTCTCTCAACCAAAAGCAAAAGAGGCCTACCCCCCTCAGGAAAATCTGCAGGCACCGGCGGTACGGCGCTGCGCTACGGGCGCGTTTCTCGGGAGCTCCAGAGACACCCGGCTCATGTGCGCTCTTTTCGGGGGCCCTGTGCTGTGGGACGGCCCCGCTTGGTTCTCCTGGAGGGAGACCAAGGGCATGAGGTTTTACCGGCCCCCCCATTTCCTTGGCAATGACGGGGGCAAGACCGGCGTACCTCGAAGCGGGAGCGTCATGGAGAACGGGAACATGGGCGCCATGTTCCCGTTAAGCAGCTGCCAGCCGTGTTTTTAAACTCACAAAGTTACTATTGCACGGGTGCATCACAACGGTGAGCCAGATATAGATCATCCCCCTTTGGATTTGCTGCGGGAGAACGGGAATGAAGATACCCAGTGAGTATTCCCTGTCTAATGGAGAAGCGGCCGTGAAAAGATAAGAGGGACCCGAGAGAGCTGAAAAGTGATGGGGGGAAGCTTATCTTCTCTGCTTTACTACAAAGATTATCAATTCTACTAAAGAGACGTATGGACTGTGGAGAGGTTTTTTGGTATTGAAAATAAAGGAAACAGATCCGGATTGGGCTAATAGAAAGTGTCTGTGATAAAAGGAAAATGGCGGCGGAGGAAGCTACCGAGGGTTCAGCCCAAGATATACTGTTTAGTGAGCTTATGGGTGAGCAGTTTCAAAAAACATTGTTAAATACAATAAGACAAGCGTGCAAAAAGGCTGTGAAACAAGCGTGCAAAGCAGCATGTGAGGATTTTTTCAGAAACTACTCAGGTGTAAAGGCAGAAGAGAGGGGCAGTGGAAAACAGAGGCAAGGAATACAAAGGTGGGCTGAAACCCAGGAAGAGGAACAAGAGAGTGAGACTAATAATATCCAACCTGTGAGCAAAGAAGGAGAGCCCCAAGAGGTGGATTCTCGGATGTGTATATCAGAGAACCAAAGTATGCTCAAAATACAAAAAGGGGGGAAAGGCTTTTTAAAACTCACTGCCAGGGAAAAGATGAAGACAATAAAAGGGAAGAAAATAAGAAAAAGACTGATGAGGCGTAAAAGTCTCAAACATCGGATTAAGACTGTAAAGCAATCTGAACAAGGATTTTGGAATTTTAGGAATCTAGAAAAAGTTACACAAGAATTTAAAAACCTGAGACATGTGGAGGAAAATGGGAGAAATCAAGAAAAGAAGCAAATGGAATTTAATATGATTGTAATAGGTTATAATGACTGATATCTGTTAGATGTAAGCATTGTTATTTATGTTCAAACAGAAAAGATGGATGAGCTCTTAAGTGAGCAAAAGGACTTATTCATCTCCCATCTCTCTTGTTAGCTGGATATGGAATTTAGCGAGATGTTCAGAAGTATGGAATGTATTTGATTTACCAAAACATTGAAAGTGTGCTGTAAAATGCTGATGCAATTATCGGAGAGAATAGATAAATGGGTCTAACAATAGCTTAAGGTAACTCGAGTTGACCTGGAGTGGGGATATGTTTCGTTTAAGTAGAGAGTGATAAGTAACAACTGAGTAACGATTATGAACTGAATTGGCAGTAGAGGTGATGGGAGAATGGGGACTTGCAGGTTCGGTAGGAACATGATTTGATTTGCTATTTTTGTAATTGACTGCCACTCTTATAAGCTATCTGAAATGATTAAGGATTTGTTTCAATTAGCAGGCTAAACAAATCAATTCTCTCAGTAATTTAGGACTGTTAGGTGTGAATTGAAGACACCAATGATATAGAACCTAGGAACGAAGTTATATGTGGTGTTTTCTGAAATTGTTAGGAGTAAGTAGAGGAATAACAAAAATCAAAGATACTAGGTTAAAAAAGCTATGAGCAAAAGGGGGGAGTTCCATTGTTTAGTTACTTGTCTGCTCAAGCTGATGTCTGAAACAGAGAGGAGGTTTTGTGTTTGTCACGGTTATGTATGTTTGTCTGTCGCTTATCGCAAAACTCAATAAAAAATATTATTTATTTATTTTTTTAAAAAAGGAGAAGCTGCAGGCCAAATAGAAAATGTAGAAAGAAGTCAGATAACCCCCCCCCACAAACAACAAGGCAAGCCTAAACAAATGAAGCAGAGTTAACTTGTGCTTCGAGATCCCGAAAGCCGAAAAAACCCCAAAAACTATTTTTTCGGGTTTTTTTCTGGCTCGGGATTTTGAAATGCACATCCCTAGTTGTGAGCCTGACGCTGTTGCGAACTCCCCGGAAGATGGGACTCTGGGTACCACTTTGGTGTAGTGGTTAAGTGCGCAGACTCTAATCTGGGAGAACCAGGTTTGATTCCCCACTCCTCCACATGCAGCTGCTGGTGTGACCTGGGGTCAGTCACAAGTTCTCTCATAGCTGTCCTTGAAAAAGAGCAGTTTCTTTCAAGAGCTATCTCAGCCCCACCTATCTCACAGGGTGCCAGTTATGGGGAGGGGAAGGGAAAGGAGTTTGTCCTTGAAAGAGCAGTTTCTGTCAGAGCTCTCTCAGCCCCACCTACCTCACAGGGTGTCTGTTGTGGGGAGGGGAAGGAGTTTGTAAGCCGCTCTGAGTGAAGGGCGGGGTATAAATCCAATCTCCTCCTCCTCTTCCTCTTCTTCTTCTTCAACCAGAGTTGGATTTCAATGTGTCAGGAGCATTTGTGGGGCAGCCGGCCGTGAATTCAAATCACCTGCACACAGGGAACGACTATGAGTCGGGGCCGGCCGAGCGGAAGAGGCCCGTCAGCATGGCCGTGATGGACGCCGACCTGGTGAAGGACAGGTAGGGCAGCAGATCTCCCTCCCGGCCGGGCCCCGTTTCGTTCAGCGGTGACCCTCTGCCACATTTGAAACTGACTGAGATGGCCTCGTTGCCTTGGGGTTATTTACCCTGGATCGGCAGTTCTCTCTCTGTGCAGACGAGAAATCCCCGCTATTTTAACCAAATCTATTTCCACTGCATGGGGGGCGGGGGGTGGCAACTCAGCATCTCTCTAGGAAAGAGGTACAGGTCAAAAGCCCCGTACCTTCGCTTCCGACTTGCTTCCGGTTCTGACTTCTGTGACAGCTTGAACAATGAACGATGTTACTGTGAGCATCTGACATCCACGGTACACTGACAGTCCCCAACGACTCTCCCTAATCCCAGACAAACGTCATCAGTGTCCCTGCTGGTGCCGCTCTGTCGGGCACTGGGGGGGCGGCCAGTGCAGAAAGTTCTTTTAGATAATGCTCAACATTGATGGAGTTCATCTATGGGCACTTGCAACGTTTGTCCGGGTCCGGTCTGCGGAGCGCCCGCTCACTGTAACAATGCTCCCTCTCGGAAGCTGAAGTCAACGAACCAGATGGCTGTCCTCAGCCAGGATTTCTGTAGCCAAGGGTGAGCGTGTGGGGCACATGCGGCATGGTAGCAAACACGCCCTTAGCGGTTCCTTTCCCATTGACTGCAGCCTGAGAAAGATCCAAAGGTAACGTACTGGCATTTCCTCCTGGCGTTCTGCGCACGACGACGGCCGGGCGAACAGCTGATGGCCGCTCCCAACTCCGTTCCTAGCTGTTCTCGGCAGTTGCCGATTAAGCAACCATGCTCCCTGAGCTTCCTTCCTCTTACGTTGCCTGTCCAACCTCTCACGGTGCGCCTGGATGGTCCGAAGGCCTCCTCCTGATTTGTTGAGGGGCAGCGTCTGCTGGCTGAGATTAGAACCCTCCGGGAGTCCCTTTTGTGCTGTGGCCCACCCCAGGCGAGGCCCCCCCCTTGTGTCGCTTGTCACTTGTCTCGTCACGTCAGTCGCCTGCCCAAGTGTCTCCCAGCCACGTGTAGTTCTGAAGCACCTCTGCTGAGCAGCAAGACTTTGCTACCTTTGATTTTAACTATGGCTAGATGTGTGTTGTTATCTGGGCGCCCTTTTGACTTCCTTCCAGCTCTGCTCCAGGCCTTGCCTCCTCCTCCTCCTAGGAGGGAGGGAGGGAGGGAGGGAGGGGGAGAGGGAGAGGGAGAGGGAGAGAGAGAGAGAGAGAGAGAGAGAGAGAGAGAAAGAGAGAGAGAGAAAGCAAGCTTACATTTCAGGGGACTGCCAGTTTGGTGTACTGGTATAAAGTGCGCGGACTCTAATCTGGGACAACCGGGTTTGATTCCCCACTCCTCCACTTGCAGCCGCTGGATGACCTTGGGCAAGCCATAGTTCTGGCACAGCTGTTCTTGAAAAAGAGCAGTTTCTGTCAAGAGCTCTCTCAGCCCCACCTACCGCACAGGGGTGTCTGTTGTGGGGAGGGGAAGGGAAAGGAGTTTGTAAGCTGCTCTGAGACACCTTTGGGTGTTGAAGGGTGGGGTATAAATCCAATCTCCTCTTCTTCTTCTCTTCTTTTGTCTTGCTCCAGTGTGGCCAGACAAGCGTCTGGGGCGGAGGGGATCGGTGCCCCCCGGCTATCCATAGTTAAGATAAGGGAATGGCCTTTTGTGCACCATGCTTGGTTGGTGTGGACGAGCAGGGCTGTGTGTATCCCCACCCTTTTAAAAACAGGATCAAAGCTCTGCACCCGGAAAAGCCGGATTTTGCAAGCTCCATACATTTTGTAGAAATGAAACCTCTTTACTGAGTGGTGCTTATATGGCATCCCCTCTGCTTTCACCAGCTGTGGTACAGAGCACCAAAATCCGCTGGCTGAAATCACAAAGGTAAACAAAAGATATATATATAAAAATAATATTTTAATACCAAGTTCAGTAACACCATAGCCATATAACTAGACAAAGGCAAGGCGTTCTTACAAGAAACAACAACAGTGCAGAGAAGTAAAGACTCTGCGCCGTGTGCCCGGTCCGTGCTCATGTGGGGTTGCAGGATACACACAGCCCTGTTGTTCCCACGTAGAGGCACAAAGGCGGCTGATTCTGGTCGTGGAGCCGGAAGCGTGGCAGGCGCTGGGAGTGGTGTTCAAGCCAGAATCCTTTGGGGCAGCACCCACTGGCGGGTCAGGGTAGGACCTGGTGCCTGCTTTCCCGGCCTGGCTCCTGCATTCGAGGGCACATGCCATGAGTCCCGCTGCTGCATTGCCTCCCTCCCTCCCTTGCCTGCACAGTTGAACCAAGGCGCCCTGCGGGGCCCCGCCTGTTGTCCCAACTGTGCCTTGCAGTCGGAGCTTTGCCTAGCCGCTTCTCCCGCTTGCCGAGTTGCACTGCTCTCGTTGGGTGTTCCGTGTAGCCAGCCCGCATGGTGTGTTTACTCTCTCTCTCCCCTGTAGCTTTGGTGTCAAGGTTTTGGACTTCCCAGCGAGCACCCGGCGAGGCGGCACTGTTAATAGAAAGCACACCGCCCCGGCTTTCCAGCCGCCGCTTCCGCCCACGGAGGCCGGCACGCTGTCTCAGGCGGGGGCAGAGCAGCTCCCGCAGGGCGCCGGGGCTGAGCCTGGCCTCTGGGGGGCCGCCTCTGCTCCACTCCCTGGCCCAGCAGAGCCCTCCCAAAGCCAAGGCGCTGAGGACAGCAGGTAAGACGGACCAAGTTCGGCCCCTGTGGGGCCTTCGCGGAAAGGTGGCTTCGGTCATTGTGGCCGTGTTCGCCGGCAGCCATGCCGATGGCTTTGTTGACCCCAGTGTCTGGCAGGAGGGGGCTTGTCTGTGCCCCAGGTTTAAAACGTGTCCCTCCGAGAGGAGCGAACTTTTCCCAGGCTGGTCCTCACAGTTATCGCAGAACTGAAAGTCGTCATCTGCAATGTTCCCTCTAAGCTGTGGAGTCTCGAGAGCAAAAATCCTACTTTGTGAGCTTCTGGCATTAAAGTTGTGAGCGGGCGATTTGGCCGCTGCAGAAATCAGTTTGCTCTGGAGCCCCATCCCTTCCTGAGCGAAGACAAAAATGTGTGAGCCGGAGGCTAAAGAACTGTGAACAAAGTCACACTGACTCAGCTTAGAGGGAACATTGGAGGGGTTGAGGGCAGGAGACTCCCCTCCCTTCCCCGCTGGTCCCTGACAAAAGCAGCACTGAAAGTTGTCACCAGCTGGCAGTTTCACCCAGGAGCAGGACCGCAAGGCAAGCAGCACCAGCTAAACGAGACGGGGGGTTGTCCATGCCCCTCCCCCAAGCTCTGACAGGCCAGTAGCCTTTTCCTTCCGTCCCTGCAGCTAGAGCCCCCACTGGTCTCGTCTGGTCTTGTCTGTGTGTAGATTAGATAAGGCCGAGTCCCCCTCCTCTGCCTTTCGCTCTGGAACACAAGAAGTCAAGGGAAGCGCCCGCTCCCATCCCAAGAGGAGTGTGCGCTTCTCTTCCTTGTCTTCTTACTGACGGTATGCTTCTCTGTGCGTGTCAGTAGCCCCAGCGTGAGTCTTGTCCATCCACCCCCCACCCCCCGCGATAACCCTTTCCACGAAAGCTTAACACCTCCCCGGTTGCACGTCTTTGATGGGAACGCAAGAGGATGGAGTTCAGAGGAGGAGGAGGGTGGAACCCGCCATTCGGAAGTCCACTGGTGCTTCCTGAGCATCTAAGCGTGCTCTCTGGAGCACTGCCACCAGGCGCCCTGACATTTTTGGGGCCTGTAGGAGAGCAAGAGGGCTGTTCCGAGGACCCTCGTCTTGCCCGGCGCACGGTCCTCCATTGCCGCTCGCGGGGGCCGAGTAGGCGAGGTCCTCTCTGCGTTTATCCAGCTTGAGGTTGACAGTCCCGGGCCAGGAAGGACATCCGTCTATATTTGCAGGGCTTTAGGGGCGAGGGAGACACTTCCCGATATGGGAGCCCGGTTTCTGAGACAGGTGAGCCTCGCTCTGTCCCACAGAAGGAAGCCTGGCACAGAAGCAAGCCTGCCCAGCCAGAAGGGAGCAGGCTGTATTCAGGTCCTCCGGTTCCACCCTGGGCTCATGCTGAGTCGCGTTCTGTGTCCAGACGATGCTCTTGGAGCCGCCCGCTTTAGGGAGAATCCACGTCTACCTCCTGAAACCATCTAGCGCTCTCTCTCTCTCTCTCTCTGTTTTCCAGCGTTTCAAAATCCAAAGACTCCACGCCCTCGACCACCCCTCCGCCCACCAGAAACGGCCGGCACGGAAGCGCCCCTCAGCCACATCCCCAGCCGGCCAGCGGCACCGGCCAGTCCTCGCTCGGGCAGCCGCAGATCAACGCTGGGCCCAGTCCCCACACGCTCAGGCGAGGTTGGTCCTTAACCAGAAAAAAAGTCTCTTTCCAGGGAGGGGGTGGGTGGGGTGTCATGGCTGAAGCAGGGGCGTCTGGGGCAGTGTGCTTCCCCCCCCCCAACAACAACAACAGTGGCAAGACTTCATCTGGAGGGAGGGAGTCACTGCTGACTGCCCCATTCCATTTGGCGTCACCGTCTCATCGGCAGGAGTGTCTCGATGGGTGACACGGGGAGCTGCTCTAGCACCAGCAGCCGAGCCCGGGGACATTTGGCAATAATCGATGCCGGTGTTGAATTCTGTGGCTGGGGCAGAATTGGTGGCTGAGAGGAGAGCCAGGTAGCGACAGAGGAGCAGCTACGCCCAGGGGGGAGCGGGGGCTCCCGCAAGCACAGCCAGAGGAGGGCGGGGAAGCGGCCTTTGTGCAGGAGGAGCAAAACTGTTAAGAAGCCCCCAGCGGCAATCTGTGCCAGCCGTGTTGGATCAGAGAAGTCCAACACTCTGGGTCACACAATGGCCAAAACCCAGGGGCGATCAGGAGGTCCATCAGTGGGGCCAGAACTCCAGAAGCCTTTCCTATCAATGTGTATTTATAATTAGGATTTTTGGCCCCAATGTGCATCACTTCACACTTGGCCACACTGAACCTCATGTGCCACGTTGATGCCCACTCGCCCATCCTCGACAGATCCCTTTGGAGTGCCTCACAATCATCCCTGGTTCTCACCACCCTGAACAGCTTCATGTCATCCACAGATTTAGCCACTTCACTGCTTACTCTCAACTCCAAATCATTAATGAACAAGTTATAAAGCATTGGACCCAGTACTGATCCCTGTGGTACCCCACTGCTTACCACCCTCCACTGTGAAAATTTCCCATTTATACTCACTCTCTGTTTCCTATTAATTAGCCAGTTTTTGATCCACAAGAGGACTTGTCCTTTTATCCTGTGACTATTGAGCTTACTTAGGAGCCTTTGATACGCTTTCTGGAAGTCAAGGTAAACAGTATCTATTGGGTCCCCGTTGTCCACATGTTTATTCACCCCCTCAAAGAACACAAACAGGTTAGTGAGACAAGATCTTCCCTTACAGAATCCATACTGAGTCTGCCTCAATAGTTTTTGTTCATCAATGTGCCTACTAATTCTCTCCTTAATAACAGTTTCCACCAACTTACCCGGTATTGACGTCAGACTGACTGGCCTGTAATTTCTCAGATCTCCTCTGGAACCCTTTTTAAGGATGGGGGTGACATTAGCTACCTTCCAGGAATGTAGGCAGATTTTAATTAAAGATGTCCACTGGTGGTAAGAAGATCCACAAGTTCACATTTGAGTTCTTTCAGAACTCTCTGATGTATGCCATTCCAGGCCTGGTGATTTATCAGTTTTTAAGTTGCCTATCAGTCGCAGGATCTCCTCTCTCATTACCTCATCTGACTCAGGTCTTTCAACAGCACTCCCGAAATCAGTGGTTCTGAAGTGGGCAAGCACTTCTCATCTTCTACAGTGGAGACAGAGGCAAAAAATGCATTCAGCTTCTCAGCCATTTCCCTATTGTTTTTTGCAATATGCTCCTCATATTCCCTTCTTGCCTGCCTAATCATAGACTTGCATTTTATTTGACACATCCTGTGTTCCCTTTTATCAACTTCACTGAGACTAGCTTTCCACCACTTAAAGGAATCCTTCTTACCTTTTACAGCTTCCATTACTTTGTTAACCATGCAGGCCTTTTTCTATACCTATTTGTGCCTTTCCTAACCTGCGGTGTATATTTTATCTGAGCATCTAGAATTGTAGTTTTAAATAGTCTCCAAGCTTCCCCAATGGTTTTGACCCTTTCTACTTTTCCTTTCAGTTTCCTCTTCACATGTCCCTTCATTTCAGAGAAATTACCCCTTTTAAAGTTAAAAGTCGTTGTGTTGGTCTTTTTGGGCAACTCCCTATTTGTACAAATGTTAAAATTCAATAACATTATGGTCACTGTTCCCAAGCGGTGCAATCACTTTTACATCTCTCACCAGGTCTTGGGCGTTACTTAGGACCAAATCCAGGATCGCCTCTCCCCTGGTAGGTTCTGTGACCATCTGCTCCATAGCACAGTCATTGAGAGTGTCTAGAAACTCAATCTCTTTTTCCTGACTTGAACACATATTGACTCAATCAATGTGTGGGTAGTTGAAATCACCTATTACAACAGTTTTTTTGTCTAGCTGCTATCTTTAACTCATTCATCGTTTTATAATCCTCCTCTATCTTTTGATCTGGTGGGTGATAACAAACTCCCAGTGTTAAGCTTCATTTCGGGCCCACTATTTCAACCCATAGCATTTCCAGAAGCAAATCCAATTCTCTGACCTTCTCAATCTTACTGGACTGCATACCCTCTCTGACATACAGAGCCACCCCACCTCCAACCCTTCCCCCCATCCTTCCAATATAATATATAACCGGGAATCACCGTATCCCACTGATTTTCCTCATCCCATCAAGTTTATGAAATACCTACAATGTCTGTTTTCCCCCAACACCAAGCATTCCAACTCCCCTATTTTACCTCAGACACTTCTAGCATTTGTGTATGAACACCTATAGTTTCCCATGCATGTTAAGCCCAAAACCTTCCTCCTGCCTCAAAACCTTGCCAGACAGTCCATATTGTTTGTCACAGTCTCAGTGGACAATTCTAATCCATTTCCTTGTAGACAAGTAACAGCTACCCCTTCCTCTCTTTGAGATGAGCCACCCTGAACCAAAGACTTTTCATCTCCTGTCAGCTTTCCCCCAATATTCGGTTTAAAAACTGCTCTGCCACCCTTTTGATTTTAAGCCCCAGCAGCCTGGTTCCTTCTCGGGACAAGTGGAGACCATATCTTTTGTGCAGCTCCCTCTTGTTCCAAAAAGCATCCCAGTGCCCAACAAACTTGAACCCTTCCTTCCTACCTACACTATCATCTCATCCACGCATTGAGACTCCTGATCTGTGCCTGTTTCTCTGGCCCTGAGCATGGAACAGGTAGCACTTCTGAGAAGGCTACCTTGGAAGTCCTGGCCTTGATCTCCTGCCTAGCAGCCTAAATTTTTCCTCCAGGACCTCATGACTGCATTTCCCCACATCGTTGGTGCCAACATCTACCACGACCACCGGCTCCTCCCAGCACTATCTACCAGCCTATCTAGAACACACGTAATGTCCACTACCTTTGCACCAGGCAGGCAAGTCACCATATGGTCAGTACGCGGGTTTGCTACCCAGCTGTCTACCTGCCTAAGTGCCGGATCACCAACTACCAAGAGGCCCCCTTCCTCCCTGCCTAGGTATGGTTCCTTGGTGTGTTCACCAACTGAAGAAGAGGTCCCTTCTGAGGGCACATTCCCCTTATCCGCAGCACGGTGCTGTTTCCTCTCGACCCTCATGCTCCCTGACAGCGATGGGGCTGCCATATTCAGAGTGGAACATATCTAACAAGTCCCTGAGAGTCTTTTCCATGTGCCTAACTGACTTTCTCTGCTTCTCCAGGTCAGCCACCTTGACCTCAAGGGAGCAAACTTGTTCCCTGAGAACCAGGAGGTCCTTGCGCTGGGCATGCACCTAAGACTTCTGTCCAGTGGGCAGATAGTCGTACATGTGACACCCCGTGCAAAACACTGGATAGCCCCCAACCAATGCTCCCTCTAAGTTGTGGAGTCCTGTGAGCAAAAATTCTACTTTGTGAGCTACTGGCATTAAAATTGTGAGCGAGCGATTTGGCTATAAATCAGTTTGCCCTGGAGCCCTCCTTCCTGAGCGAAGACAAAAATGTGTGAGCCGGAGGCTAAAAAACTGTGAGCTAGCTCACACTGACTCAGCTTAGAGGGAACGCTGCCCCCAACCCCTTGCTGGCATTCTGCCTTCATAATTGCTTTAAAAAAATTATATATAATCCCCCTTTTAATAAAACCCTTCATATTTATTTATCTATTTATGTATTTATTTTATTTATATAGAGCCCTCCCCAGATGGGCTCAGGCCAGTGTACAACCATTAAAATAATTCATTTAAAACTACATTTTATTTATGTAGCTCTCCTTGTAGAGAGTCTACCTGCCTTACTGGGGACACGAGACTAGGGCCCTGGCTTTCTGGTCCTTCCTGGGCTTCTTACAGACCCCTTAGGCCGAGAGCCACAGAGGCTCATGCCTCTGGCGTGGTGCATCCTTAAATAGAAGCCTCACCCAGCAGAGGGCAGGGCCAGCAGCTATTCAGACTACACCCACGCAATCCAATTAGAGTCAAACAAAAACACCCTTTCTCAAACAGCCCTGACTCTGCAACAACTTAAAACTCACCCACACACTCCCAAACACTATCCTCCCACACAGTACCCTCAGGTAAATCTCCTCAGCTGAAAGCAAATTAAAAAACCCCTCTAGCAGTTCTGTCTCCTGCTGCTTCTCAGAGCTCAGCTGGGTCAGGTCTGCCTTTGGCGAGGTGCTGCCTTACATAGAAGTCTCACCCGGCAGAGGGCAGGGCCAGCCATCAGGAGGTCACCAGTGGGGCCAGAACTCCAGAAGCCCTCCCACTGTTGCCCCCCCCCCCCCCAAGCACTAAGAAGACAGAGCATCCCTTGCCCCAGACAGAGTGTTCCATCTCTACCTTCTGATTAAGGGCCACTGATGGGCCTGTGCTCCATATGTTGTTCCAACTTTCCGTCCTGGTGGCAGCCTCATTTCCTCCTTCCTCTTTGCCCTGCTTTGGAAGCTTCAATTTCTAGGAAGGGCAGAAGTAGCGGTTCTCTGGGATGGAGGGACCTTCATGGGACTCCCTTTGTTGAGCCCTACCAAGTGGTGAGACCAACCGCGTTGCTCTTTGGTGGTCTGCCAAGTAAAGAAGGTGGAGGACGTTAGATGCCAGGTCTGGTGGCTCAGCGCTGATGCTCAGGGCGGTGGGGACCTAGAGGAAGAGAGGCTGTGTTGGAGCCCCGTTTCTGCCCGCCTCTTGATTGACGCTTTTGCTGGCCTCTCTTGCAGCTGTCAAAAAGCCTGCCCCAGCCCCGCCGAAGCCTGCCAACCCACCTCCCGGGCAGCCCGGAAACCAGAACGCAAGCCCGGCCCCTCCACTGCCCTCCGTGTCTCCCAAGCCGGCTGCCAGAAGCCCCTCTCCGCCCAGCCCAGGAGGTGCCCTACCGGCCCCTGCCACCGCCCAGGCCTCTGCGCCCCGGCGTTACTCCAGCAGCCTCTCCCCCATCCACGCTCCCAGCCACCCCCCGCCGCAGCCTCCCATGCAAGCCGCGACCCCTCCTCTGCAGCCCAAGGGGGCCAGCCCGGGCTCCTCCCCGACGGCGGCGCCCGGCTCCGAGCCTGGCCCCTGGAGAAGCACGGCGCCGCCTCCCCGGCCCCTCCGCCTGCAGCCCAGGAAGCCCCTCAGGCAACGTCACCCCCTCAGACAGGCACCTTGCCCAGGCCGAGGCCCGTGCCCAAGCCGAGGAACCGCCCCACCGTCCCCCCTCCACCTCATCCTCCCGCTCCAAACCTGGCTGCCGGAGACGCCTCTCTTCCAGGAGCCCCGCCGACCGCATCCCGCATAGTCACTGGTAAGTGTGCCCTTTTCTGTCCTCTTGGTGTGTGGCGGGGGTGGGGTC